AGCAGCAGACAAACTAACAATATATATATATATATATATACTATGTCACGAATATACGAGCTCGCACGCAAAGTATATATGTGTATGTAGATGTATATGTATAATGTGTATATATGTACTACGTAAATATACTATGTGCATAAAGTATATGCGTATACATTTATACATGTATATATATATATATGTACATGCAAAACTATATATATACATATACACATATATGTATATATATACACATATACTTTTGCTTGTTAGTTTGTCTGCTGCTTGAGTGTTTCGTGAGGTTGAGAATCGTTAGAGGTTTGATCGGATGCGTATCTGATTTATGCAATAACTTGCTGTGGTCTGCGATTTATTAAAGCGATGCTGTTAACCTTCCAAACAGGTCTGGTACCAATTTACTCATCCCAGGAGGATGGAAGTGAGCGTGGGGAGCGGGATCGAATTAACAACGATTTGTTTATTGCAGGCATCTTTAGTCACTGCACTACACGAGTCCAATTATGTTATTGTGCGTGAAATCGAGTGTGAAGTAATTTTACGACGCAATGAATTGGTAAAACGCGATGGGTACACTGCTAAAGCCTGTGCATAATGTATTCGCCAGGCTTAAACGCTGTTAATGTTGCTCCGTTACTTCTGACTAAGATGACTGTGTGATGATAGATGGAGAGATGAATAAGATGTCCTACTATTCCTCGAATAGTTAGTATTCTTTCATATTATCCTGTATTCCCAAGGTGATTGTCTTAGCTTTTGAGTACATGCGGTTTTCTTCATATCACATAGCACTCTTACTCTATGGAAATGTTTCCATCTCGTTCAGAGGAACCTTGCTTGCAACAAACAGTTCTTGTCTTGCTAACCTTTTTGCATGTGCGGAGCTTCTTATATGTTGTATTGTTCAAAGCCTTCACGTACGCCATAACACGAAAGGAAAAAAGTTGTATGGAAGGCCCATCTTTCATTATCCGATATGTTGACGAATGATGAAGAATGCATAGTCGACGATTTTTTTCTGGAGAAGTCAAAAGCTACGCCAGAACACCGCCTTTTCTAGAATACACTTCAGTGGGCTTGGCAGTCACTATCCTGTTCGCCTGGTTAGCGTCAGTATGGTCCTCCTATTCATCTTATGCTGTACTCTATCTCGATGATTTAAATAGTTAACTCCACCTGCAGTTGGTCTCCACTGTACGTTGACATCATTCTACTGTGATGTGTCTTTTAACACATTAACTCAATTCCGCAGTCAATATAATTTAATACTATCACAGGCCTACATGTGCTTAACGTGTTAACCCATCGGAACGTTGTCAAGAGATTACGTATACACTTTGATAAGTTAACTTATCACGATATTATCACAACCTTGTTTTCATTGTTTAGTGCTTATTTCAAGATTATCACAAGCTTACATGTACTCAACATATTAACCCCATCAGAATAATATTCTGAGCCTTTATATAGGATGTAACTTCATCGTATTGGCTGCATCTTATTTGCGCCACCAAGTTGGCAAAGCCGCTCTATTATCTCAAGGGCCATCTCGCAGTCATCATTAGCTCCAATTATTAACCCCATTATCGTATCGCCTCTAATATTGTTTCGGTATTACCGTGTCGTTATTTTTGTATTATTATTGCTATAAACCGTTTAATTACCCGAGCTTGAGGTATTGCTCTGTCGGGACGTCAGTAAGGTCCCGCGTGGAAAATTCCTGCGACACCAGGTGTCCTACTGCAAGCCGGTGATTATTCGGTGCCAAGTATTCATTCAAAGATCTATTTTCCACTGTCAGTTTCTGTAATATTCATGTTTACCAGAACCTTTTCATCAGCCTATGTTCATATTCGGATTAGTGAAGTGTAGATTGCCTCAATGGCGGAGTGAAATAGCTATGTTCCTAGGATTGTTGTTCACATTAAGTAAGCATCACAAAGAGGTGCTTAAAACAGCAGTTTCCACTATTGTTTCATATTAATCTTTCTACTGTGCAAAATTTGTTGACAATTCATGCATTTTTCTGTTTACTGGCGGAGGCCTTTTGACCAACCACGTTTGTTCGACCATTCCTCAGTGAAACCTATTTTCCAGCACGTTTCAAATACATTTTTATGAGTGAATTGTAGAAAATATTCAGAGTCATGTTATAATACTGCTAAATTCAGCTTGCACTTATGTAAGCTTAGTTATAGGACAGCTCCTTGCCGTCCTCGTTCCTGAGAACTGGGAGCGTCGACGTATTGATACGTACCTCTAGTGAACCCAACGTCCGTTTGAAGCTTAGCCATCATAGTGTCGATGATTTCTCGTGCGGAACGGACTGGATCACGAGGAAATCCCGGTTCACCATGAATACCGAGACCAATTTCCATTATATCGTTCGGGATTTCGAATGTTTGACCAAAACCTAATAGGTTATGGAGATTTAAAGAAACCCCATAGTACCTGAATGGTTTTGTCTTAGATATTCTTAAAGCTTCTAGATTCAACGTCCGAATTTGCATATCTACTGCATATCGTTAAACTGCTAAGCCGAGGTTGAAACGATTCCCAGTGTAGTTCACGACGAACTGGATTGCCCCCCATACAATACACCTAATTAACCTGCAGTAATTTTGGAGTTGTGCTTACCGAGAACAGTCGATTCACAGTTAGTTCGCTCACATTTAAACGATTTGCTAAGTGTAAAGCTTAGTAGAACTGAAATAGTAGAGATTAGACCATTCGTTGTGGTGAAGTTCAAAGCTGTGCAGCCGTGACCTGACGGAGGTAAAGTGAATACGTTACCGGCTCTGGCGGCAGTGGACATTCCAATTCCGATGTAACATTAAACGAAGACCTGTAATTTTTTTATCGACATAAATTCCTTATTATGCTTAAGATATAAATTGGCTTCTAATCAAATCGATAAAGTCACTGTCGGTAGTTCTGCGTATCTGTCTCCATTTCGCTACTTCTACAAACTCAAATTTTATGGGAAAATGAAGTTCTGACTCTAGAGGCCTTTCGAGCTATGCCAAATACTAGCAGGCCGCGGTGTGTAGGACGACCGTCACGAACAAGGAGTGGCAAAACTTATTCGGCAACATCGAACTCAGCTTTGACTGCTGCTCAACCTGTCGCGCGTTTTAGGTATCTATTTTTTAACTAAAAAACGAATGAGCTTTTCATAATATCTTCTTTACCACCTATTATAGCATAGGTACGTATAGGTATAGGTATAGGAATTAGTTTATGCAAGCATTCGTGTCTGTAAATACCGCTTAGACACATCACGTTTCTAGAAGCAAGAAGTAGATTCCCCTTTAGAACTAATCCGATAAATATTGCATAGATTGTGGTGAAATGTGCAACCGCATGAATTTTTTGTTTGCTCCGAAACATTTCTTGCTCGAAATCCTACGCATCAATTTCAATGAGTCATTTTCTAACCAAAATAATTATCAAGGTTTTTTTTTGGTAGAATAAATGAAATGTTATAGCAGAGACTCATTCTTAGCCCTTTATGACGAGATGTATTGAGCAATTTCA